AAGATTATAGATATTTTTGGGAAAGAAAGCCAAAAACTTTCTTTCCCAAAAATTAATCACTCCTAAAAAATATAACCCCTTGAATTCAAGTAATAAAAACCAATTACAAATAATTAACCACCAATATTGAGTCCTTTTACATGCTTTCATGCAGTTACATCAATAATTATATTGACTACAATTTGCGTAAAATATTTCCAATATTAATTTATCTTATACTGTTACTGTACTATACTGTCTTGTTCTATATTATACTAGACATAATCTAAAGAATTATTAAACTATTATTATTATTTCACTGTTGATAGAATCAAACACTTTCACTAAAACTTCAACCACTATTCAAATGTCTATCGTCTTAGTAGATCGCTCTGTACCGCACTGTCCGCTAAATTTTACTTCTCTATCGGGGCGTGGGTAGCGATTATATATGGTAATCGAATCCTCTGAAAGCCAATATGGAATTTGCCACAAGTCTACCAAATCAACGTTGCATCTAACTAGAAGAAAGACGAAGCGCACGTCGCACGCGATCTTGATCACGTCACAATTGATTTATGACGACCAGCGGCGGCCGGTGTTTTTTTTTTAGAAGATGATTTACAACACGGCAGCACTTTGGTTCAATTTTAATGCGTAGAGAAAATTTGGCCGAAAATAGCTTAATGACATTGTAATAAGTTGGATTTATTATATTTTTCGTTGAATTTTAGATACAAAAACACATGTGTTTTCGTATAAAAGGGAACCTTATCATCTTTCAGAAATATTAAGGCCAACAGAGCCACGCCATTTAAAGGAAAAGTCGTTAAAATTAACTGCTTGATGCTAAGAAATTCGATATTTTGAAACATTCAACCTCATAATTCATTTCATTATCTTTCGTTAAGGGTCGAAAATATGTTATCCAGTCTGTATACCCCATTTAGAATAAAAGTCAGAAAACACTCAAACGTATAATAAATATCGCAATTTATCTTATGAGCTCAAAATTTAACGACATGATAAAATGAAGCCACCCAAGTGGCTAATCTACATATGNATTGTCGAAAATATTTTAGTTGGCTAGAGAATGTCCGAATATGCCCTCCATTAAATTTTCAAAGTGATCCGTTGTCTGGTTCACCAGAAACGTCTAATGTGCCATCCACCGTGAATCAGCCTATATAGGGATCGCCAATTCAGACCCGACGGTCATTTATTACAACATCACATAGTTATAAGCTGAAAATTTGGAAAAAATGAACAGCATTAATGTATAGAGTACAAAATTCTCTATCGATCAGCTAGATATGAAGCTACAAAAACACATGACATTAAAACGGACAAAACCTTTGGAACAACCTATTATAAAAAATTGAACAACAAAATCTGATCTCATTTTCATACAACCTAGTAACTTTAATAACTGTTTGATTTCCCATTATATTGAGATGATTACTCTGTAGACACCAGTCACATATTTCTCTCATCTGAAAGCCTACTTTGGAGATAGGCTAATCACCCTCTTTGCTTGTCCACAGAAAAATTCATCTCTAAGATGAGCAGGTAGTAAATACTCATTTTTGGCGAAAACTCAAGACACTTGCCTATTAATATTGATATAAAAGTAATTTAATAACTTACTCGTTATACTTTGGAGAGCACACTATCGCAATAGCCTCAGGCATAAGTAACTGGTAAGGGCAATGAGTATGAAGATCCACACTCGACAGGAATGCTGTTTGTGTGGGATGAGTCTGGAACGAAATATTTATTGAAAATACTAACTAGTGGAAAAACCAATATTTTTACACGCTTTATATTAGCTTCATCTGTATGTATGTATGTATGTATGTTTCTTTGTTTGTAACTCCCAAGCTCGATATCTGTATTGACAGAATTATCGGCATTATTGCTTGATCTATTCGCGGGCAGATGGCGCTGTTCGTAACCTCCTTGATAGGTTTTTCAAAAAAAAAAAATCAAAACAAAAAGCATATTTTAAAAATTATAAGTGTTAGCGAAATGTTGTACTACAAATGAAATATTTAAATATTTACAATTACTCATGATTCAGTACAGAAAATAGTTTTGAACGAAACGGAAGATACATTTTGAAATCTAAATTGATTATTTGAAAGCAAACCAGAATATGGATTTCAACAATGAAAACTTTATCGTAAATTGTACACCTGAAAAATTCAGTTACTCAAATATTTCAAAAAATCGAAAAATTAGAATTAAGGTGCTCGACATACATATCAAATCAAAAGATTGATTGGAAAAATAAAATTGTTTACTGAAAAAATATTTTTAGTCCATTAATATTTTGAGTGAAACATCAAATCAAAACATCAAGACTGAATTGTTTTTTGAAACTATTACTGCAAATT